GGAGACAGCGAGTCTCTCCCGGCAGGGAGGGAGGCGTAGAGAAGGGCTTGTTGCGAAGGCTCGGTGTGTTTTTTGGCTCTCCAGCTTGCAGAGGGAGAAATTCAGACTGCGCTGCGAGTTCTGCCCGGCTCCTGGGCTCGGTCAGCCTTCGGCCCACTAAGTAGTTGTTGGCCGCTCAGCAGATCGAGCTAGGGTTAACCCCACCACCACCCTTAGCAAGCCAGGCTTTCTGGGCATCAGTGGCCAGTCTCCCGGCAGGGTGCGGGGAGGACAAAATGTCATCTGCCCTGGTCATCTCTAGAGATGAACATCTCTACAGCACCTCCGTATCCGGCTTCCCTGCAGAGGGTTGTCCCTTTAGAGCCCTGCTGGGTGTGCTGGTCCCTCAGCCGGGATGCAGGGAGGTGTCCCCTTCCTCTTCTTTCTCCTCAAGAGCCTCCCAAATTATCAGCCACGGAGGTGCAGCCATGGGATGACTGGGGGAAGAACCGGGTGATGCCCTGCAGGGGCAAGGCTTTGACATGAGCCCGGCTGGGTGAGGGCACAGATATCAGGGACCTGCCGTCCACAGCTCCTGCCGGCAGCCCCCATTACTGAAGACATGTCTTTAAATTTAGGTGCAGCTTTCGGCAGGAGAGAACTAGGAGGGGACCAACAGTAAGGGAAGGCCTGGAGTTTCTGCACTCCCTCAGAGGAGCTGGTGTGGCATCTTTCTCCATGGTGGCCTTTTCCTGCTCCGAGAAAGGCTGTGGTGGAGCTTGCTTCACCTGGTCCGTAAGGGCGAGGACGCGTTTCGCTGAGGAGCAGGAGCGCTGTGCGTGCCGAGGGCGAGCCATCAGCAAGCCTGTGACCAGGCAATCGTTTCCCAGCCTGGGTGTCTGAGATGGGCACCCCTGGGAGGACGAGGAGGTCTCCTGGGGCCTGGCCAAGCCCAACCACTTGCAATAACCAGCTGCTGAGCCCCTGAAGGGAGAGTCCCACTGGGACCAGCAGACTCCTGGAGACAGCTCTTGCACTGGGAGCTACTGGCTGGCCAGTGCTTCAATGTGTCCTTGTGGTCCAGCCTTCGGTGGGCTGTGGCATGCCACATGACTGGAAAAGCTCACTGCTTTCACCAGAGCCACTGACATGTCCAGGCTGCCTTGGAGCTTCGTTCCTTGCCTGGACCAGAGGTGTGATAACGAACCGCCAGAGCAGGGTGGTGGGGTGGCTTTTGCTCACCTGCGCCCCAGCGTGGGGTGCAGGGGGGCACCTCAGCCCTCCCCGCAGAGGTGCCCAGGGGCTGAATCTCTGCTCAGCACCTGCTGGATTTTCTGCAGTTGGAAAGCTTCTCTTGAACGTTTAGCTTGGGTCTTCCTTGCTGCTATTTGTGACTTCTCACCGCTGCGGGTCCCTGGAAATCCCCGAGCTGCCTGGAGCTGGGCACGCCGACAGCCTGGTGGGATTTGCCCAGCATCTGGAGATTTGAGGGTGAAGAAGACCAAGGCAACGCGTAAACTCTGAGACGTCCGCGCGAGCCGCCGGGGGATGTTGCAAACCCCGCTTGCAGCCAGAGGTGGTTTGCAGCGGGCCACGCGTACACCCCCT